CGGGTGCCTGTAATCCCAGCTACTTGGGAGGCTTAGGCAGGAGAATCGCTTAAACCCGGTAGGCGGTGGTTGCAGTGAGCTGAGATCATGCCACTGCACTACAGCCTGGGTGACAGAGAGAGACTCAGGAACAGAACAGAGGGAGGAGGAAGAGGAGGAGGGGAGGGGAGGGGGAAGGGGAAAAGAGGAGGAAGAGGAGGAGGGGAGGGGAGGAAGAGGAGGACAGATAGGAGGTTTCGCCGGCCCGGGCCCCAAGACCCTCCTGGGTGACCAGTCTGAGAGTTGTGGGACCCCCGAGGCAGGGACGGAAGGGGACCAACCCCCATGCCCACCCTCCCCTCCTGGCGGGCTCGTTTCATCCAGGCAGAAACCCTGAGAGGGAGACATTGCAGCCTCTCTTACAGACGACGAAACTGAGGCTCAGGGGCCAGAATGTGTTTGCAGGCGAATAATTAAGAGGCCAGAGCGAATCCCTGGCCTCAAGGCTCCCTCCTGGTGCTCAGATTGCAGCCCCTTAGAGGCTCCCTGAGGAGGCAGAAGGGGACTGAGTCCCAGGCTCCCGGACTCCGAGCTCAGGGGAGTCACCCAGCAGCCGGGGCCTTCTCTCTCCACCTGTGGAATGTGGAGCGCCAGCTCCTTTAACCACACAGGGGTGGGGAAAGCCCCTGCAAAAGGCGGCTGCTCTTGGGAAGCCGGGCTGTGTTTTCATGAAAATCTAAAGCATTCCTGAAAGAGGATTCGGCTCCATTCTCAGGCACAGGGACCCAGCTGGGATGAGCATCCGTGCAGCGTGCGTCCCCGGAGACACGGGGTGGAGGGGATGGGGGGGTGGGGAGACACCCTCAAGGAGAGGCCTGGGGCCACCACTTACAGGTTTTAGGGAAAAACCAAATGCCTAAGGCAGTTATTACTTTGTGTGATTACCAGAGTTTTTTTTTTTTTTTTTTTGAGATAGTCTCACTCTGTCACCCAGGCTGGAGTGCAATGGCACGATCTCGTCCCACCGCAACCTCCGCGTCCCGGATTCAAACGATTATCCTGCCTAAACCACCCGAATAGCTGGGATTACAGGCGCCCGCCACCATGCCCAGCTAATTTTTGTATTTTTAGTAGAAGCAGGGGTTCACCATATTGGCTAGGCTGGTCTCGAACTCCTCACCTCGTGATCCGCCCGCCTCGGCCTCCCGAAGTGCCGGGATTACAGGCGTGAGCCACGCGCCCGGCCTGATTCCCAGATTTAACCCAAAATCTTTTCTGTTTCCGATGGAAAACTCCTTTCGTTTCCCCCTCCCTCCCCAATCCCCCCTCCCCCAAGCAATGCTTGAAACTCTGGTAATAGCATAGATCTCCCAAGAGCACCAGGCTAGAGGATCCTGGGCTCCCGCACAGGTGAACTTGAAGCAAGGGGAGAAGCATGGTCGGGGGAATGGTCAATGGTCCCCGAGCCGGGACAGCGCCAGAGCTGAGCAGAAAGGGGCCCACCAAGGATGGGGTCGCAGCCCCCAGCCCCAGCCCACCTGTCTTGCCACCCAAAGGCCTGGCCTCATTCCGGGGTTGGGAGTTGCCTGCTCTGCGAGGCAGGGCGGGACTGCACAAGGCTCGGGTAATCCTGGGAACAGCAATGAGGCTTTGTTTAAATCTCACCTCACGCAGGGAACCACCCACACCCCCAGAGAGGTAAGCGGAGCCAAGGACCAGCCCCGCCACGGGACAGGAGGCAAGCTGCAGGGACAAAGGGCCGCGCTACACTCAGAAGCCAGTCGCCCTATGTTGTCTAAATCAGGCTACATGGGGCAACATAGCTGCTGCTTTGCTCAACAGAACAAGTCCAAAGAACAAGTCCAAAGACGTCCTGGCAACTCCTCAGGTCCCCAGCACCTGTGTCCCCAATTGCACTGTGCCCGGGGCCAGAGCCCCCCCACACCTACACACCCGGGCATCTCGTGCTTTAGCTTTTTTTTTTTTTTCTTTCTTTTGTTTTTGAGACAGAGTCTCGCTCTGTCACCCAGGCTGGAGTGCAGTGGCATGATCTCAGCTCACTGCAACCTCTGCCTCCCGGGTTCAAGCAATTCTCTGTCTCAGCCTCTAGAGTAGCTGGGATTACAGGTGCCCACCACCATGCCTAGCTAATTTTTGTATTTTTAGTAGAGACAGGGTTTCACCATCTTGGCCAGCCTGGTCTTGAACTCCTGACCTCGTGATCCACTTGCCTCAGCCTGCCAAAGTGCTGGGATTACAGGTGTGAGCCACTGTGCCTGCTCATGCTTTAGCTTTTATACTTTTGATCACAGCCCATGAGCAGAAATACATTTTATTTCTATTGTTGTTTGGCCCATAAGTACGTAGCATTCATTTAATCATCTTCGGCTCATGACCACTCTACTCATTGGTCTATTCATCACCCATTTTCACTTATTTAGCTATTTAATTGGCGATTTTAAGTAATATAGTAAGCACTTATGAACCCACTACCTAAAAGAAAAGGTCACATCTTTTCAAAAACTTTTTTTCTCTTAAAAAAATTTTTTTGGCTGAGATGGGGTCTTGCTATGTTGCCCAGACTGGTCTTGAACTCCCAGCTTCAAGTGATCCTCCCTGCTTGGCCTCCCAAAGTGCTGGGATTACAGGCATGAGCCACCACACCTGGCCAAGGTAGCATCTTGAGGATAGTCCACATCTAGCCATAGCGTCCCTCCTTGCATCCCTTTCCCAGGACCCCTGAACTAGAACGCAGCACGTCATGAATCCTGTGATCATAACAACCTTGCTTTCATTTTTCCATAATTAAAGAATTTTTTTGTCTTTTGGTTTTTAAATTTTTTTTGAGATGGAGTTTCACTCTTGTTGCCCAGGCTGGGGTGCAGTGGCATGATCGCAGCTCACTGCAACCTCTGCCTCCTGGGTTCAAGCGCTTCTTCTGCCTCAGCCTCCCAAGTAACTGGGATTACAGGCACCTGCCACCATGGCTAGTTTTTGTATTTTTAGTAGAGACAGGGTTTCGCCATGTTGGCCAGGCTGGTCTCGAACTCCTGACCTCAAGTGATCCACCCACCTTGGCCTCCCAAAACGCTGGGATTACAGGTGTGAGCCACTGTGCCCGGCCTGCAGTACTTCATTTTTGACTGTTGTGTAATATGGCACTGATGGCTGTCTCGTGGTGCATTCAGCACCTCCCTCTGCTAAGCATTTGGGTTCTGTTGTGAACAATGCTGCCGTGAACATTCTCATACGTCTTCTACCATACATGTGGACCAGCTTCTTGTGGAAATATACCTAGGAGTACAGTTGGTGGGTGTTAAACTAGGTGAGTATTCAGCTTTTAGAGAAAAGGCCAAAATCTTTCCAGTCATTGTCCCAATTTGCAATCCCATCAACAGTGTGTGAAAGATCCCTGAAATCCACCATTTGGTATGGTTAGTCTTTTTCATTTCTATGCTGGTTGGAGAGGTGTGAAATGGGGACTCATTCTAGCCTCGACTCACATTTTCCGGATCTCTCATGACGCTGCACATCTTTCCACATGTTTTTGTTTTGTTTTGTTTTTGTTTTTATTTTTGTTTTTTAACCATGTGTTGCCTCCTTGGTGAAATGCCTACTTACGTCTCCCACCCACTTTTCTGCTGTGCTCTTGTGCCCTTGTGAGTCTCAGCACTAATCTCTGTCAGGTGTGTGCATCTTCAATAGCTGCTTCCAGTTCGTAACTGACTTTTCACTTTCTTTAAGATATCTTTTCTTCCTTCCTTCCTTCCTTCCTTCCTTCCTTCCTTCCTTCCTTCCTTCCTTCCTTCCTTCCTTCCTTCCTTCCTTCCTTCCTTTTCTCGTTCTGTCCCCTAGGCTGGAGTGCAGTGGCTCAATCTCGGCTCACTGCATCCTCTGCCTCCTGGGTTCAAGTGATTCTCCTGCCTTGGCCTCCCCAGTAGCTGGGACTACAGGCACCTGCCCACACACCAGGCTAATTTTCGTGTTTTTAATAGAGACGGGGTTTCACCATGTTGGCTAGGCTGGTCTTGAACTCTTGACCTCAGGTGATCCGCCTGCCTCCGCCTCCCACAGTGCTGGGATTACAGAGGTGAACCACTGTGCCCAGCCAAGATGTCAATGAACCAACATTCTTAATTGTAATATCGTCAGATTAAGCAAACTTTTATGGTCAATGCTTTTTTTTTTTTTTTAAAGAAATCTACTAAGAGTTTTAAAGTTTATTTTCAACATTCAAATTCTTTTCATCAATTGCAAGTTGATTTGTAAACAAATGCATGTGAGGTGGGTAGTAATCCTGTTTTACATACGGGGGGGTATTTTTTCCACTTCCTCCTTTCCCCACTGCTCTGACATGCTCTGTCATGTGTGAATCTGTGCCTGAGCTTTCTGTTCTGTGTGTCAATTTGTCCCTCTTCCAATGCCACATTGTCTTGATTACCGCAGTTTCATGACAAGTCCTGAACTCTGGTAGGGCAAGTTCTCCCTGCTTGTTTTTCTTCTTTGGATTTATCTTGGCTATTCTTGGAAAAGCACATTTTACATCATGACCTACAAGTACATAACCACACAATAATTTCCAGAACATCCTTTACCTCAGTGTGCTCTGATTATTTTTATTCTATTCTGTGTCATGTAAAAAAAATGCTAGACATCATCTACTAAACTGATTTCACACCCCACTAATGGATGGTAAGGCACAATTTGAAAAATTATAATCTTTCAGGACACTGAATGCTCAGAACCCAATGTGCTTTTATTCATTCATTCAACAAATATTTGTGGCCATGTATAATGCATCAGATGCCGTATTTACCATACTTCATGCCAGGAAAGCAACAGAGAAGATAACATACCCAGTCCAGTCCCTGACCTCATGCTGTTTATAATCTTGGCTAATCAAGTTCACAAATAAATAATTCCAAATCATGATGGGAGTGAAGCCATGGAGGGTAAGAGGGCTCGGGAGGGGGTGATCAGAGGTCTCTGAGGCAATGATCTGGAAGCTGCCACCTGCAAGATGAGGAGTTAGCAAGATAGAGACAGCAGGAATGAGCTCTCCGACGGAGGGCACGAACACCAAGTGCAAAGGCCCTGAGACTTGAAAGAGCACGAAAGACCCAGGAGGCGGCCAGTGTGGCGCCAACCCCGTGGAGGAGTGGGGGCATCCTACTGAGATAGAGGCCCTGGTAAGGATGTAGTTTTTTGGTTTTTTTTCCCCTAGGAGCAGTGGCGAGTATTGAAGGATTTTAAAGTGGTTTGATCTGGTTTGTGTTTCTGTTCCTGGGAGAGAAAACCCATGGGAAGGAGGCCAGTTAGAAGCCAGGATGATGCCTTGCTGTTGTTGTTCTCCGTGCTGTTCCCAATGCCCAGTTTTGCCTGCCTCTTCCCCACCCCCTGAAATCATTCTCATCCTTCAAGACCCAACTCCAGCCAATGGCACCGACCTCCTGGACCTGCCAGGCAGAAGTGGTGGCTCCCTCTCAGCTGACCCCGGAGCACTTCCTTAGCTCCTGCTGATCTCAGAGCACACACGCAAATCCCCTCTGGCCACTCGGCAGTTTTTCTTGATGGCACTGGCATGGCACCTATGCTGGGGTCAGTCCCTCAACCAGTCCTTCAGTGTTGAAATGCACAACCTCAGCCCTCTAGCCTCAGCGGAGGAAGCAGGGCTCTTCAGTTTGGGAGAACTATATACAACCGGAAGGAGGGGCCAAA